TATGCGGGAAGTACGAAAGACGCTATCCTTGTCAAAGATAAGCACAGTTTTCGAAGCATGGGAATCGTATATAGTTATTATATTTTTTTGCGAAAGTAAATAAAGTAAATAGTAGCTGAATAGCGTCTTTCCGATACCCGGATTACCGCTGATACGTAATCTTTTTTTCGTTTTCTTATCAAATGCGATCTTTGCCAAATTGCGGTAGCATTTACGAATGTAAATAATTGAAGTTTCGTCTTTATCACCTAAAAAATGGATGCCCTCAGGCAGTTGGAGGAAGTCTCCACATTCAACATTTTTGTCCTTTAGGGCATTCCAAAATCTTTTTGCGTCTACGTCTGTATAAAAATAAACGATTCAAAAATGATATAAAAGGTTAGCGCGTCACGTTTGAGTTGACCAATCATTACGACGCAAAGGCTTACCTGGAAGTTCATCTAAATTGGGTTAGATTATTTAGATTATCGAAAAAAAAGATGTCTTAGCGTCACGAACAGTTAACGGCAAATAATTTTTATAAAATTATTCGATAACATACCAGAAATATTACGAAGAAAATCTTTCAAAAGATTCCTTTTAGATTCTTCTGTTCCGCACGAAACTGCAAGTGCTGAATTTAATTCTTTTCTTATTTCATGATTTTTAATTAGGTAAATTTTGAGTTTGTTTGCTTCTGCTTCATCGAGACCAAGGTTATTAACTATTTCGTAGATATCAGACATCTTGCGTAAGAGATGAAAAAGAAAAAAAACGATTTTCTGTAGAGGTTTATATATATTATTCGGAATAAACTTTTATTAAACTTCACTTATTTATGTGAACGCGTTATAAGCTGTTATAAGCTTAATAAACTCCACTGATTATTAATTGAGAACGCGTTTTGTAAGTCCGAACTCAAAAAATTATCATTGTGATAAAATACATTTATTTTTCGATTTAACAATTACCTAATATCATTACAAAAATTTCGAGTCATCGTGAAATATTTTGAATTAAATAATATATATTTTTTTTCCGCACAAATTTCAGATATTTAAGAAATTCGTTGCCTAATGTGTTAAGATTTCGATTTTTTTAACTCAAGTACGATTGATATAACTGCGCCAAATTACTGCCCGCCAAGATTTTGGCAGGGGAAATTACATTCATGTGATTTTTTCTCTGTAGTATTTAACTGCGCCGATGTGGCACGTGTTGACGATCACGATTTTCTCGGTGAATATCAAATATGTTAAGAAGATCAGGAATGGTAATATGTCCGCTTTGACTTTGAGCATCTATAGAGCCGAAAATATTGATTAACATCATGATGCCCTATTCCAGAAGCTAGCCGAGCAATAAAACTAACCTACCTTACTATAACTTTGCAGAACATGCGAGTTCGTTTGATTGTTGATTTTGATGATGTTAATAATAGTAAGTTTTATTTTTCATTTGATTTTTACTTTACTTGCGCAAGGAGGATAAAAGTGCTCACTAGCCAGGACATCACCTTTTTATACAATTTGCAGGATCAATCTTTGGGAAAAAAATTACGTTAATATGATCACATCACGAGAATCGATCAACCACATCTCCTTAATTAACATTAAAAGAATTTAATGCTATCCATATGTAAAGATCATCAAAGGGGCCTCTTTGCTTATGTAAGAATTTTGAGAACATGCGAGAAAGTTTGAGAATAAATTATTTTGCGCAATTGCTTGTTCCTGTGATACTATACATGTGACGTTTACTATAATTTTACTGCGCATTTATTTATAATAGCACACACTTTGCTTCATGCGAAAAAATTATAAATCATCTAGTAAATTTGTTCTATTGCTTTATGATTTATTGATCATATGAGAAAAAGGTATAAAATACAGGTTGTAGCCTGCTACATGATGATGCTATTTATTCGGTATATTCTCTTGTTACAAGATAGTCTGTTAATAATACCTTCAGAAATTCTGGATATTCTAGAACAGTATTAGCCACAAGATCTAATGTGAGTTTTATGCTAAAGGCTCAAATATTAGGTTGCGCAGGCCATGTTACATGGTAGGTGTAACCGTGAAAATTCTTCACGATCAAATTAAGACTCGAGGACATTCACATCGCCTATATATTCCTTCCGCTACCTTCTTAGATCTTTTGCAATACAGATGTGAGTGATGATTGCATTTTTCACAAACCTTACAACCATGCTTCCATCCCCTAAATATATAGCATTTTTCAAAGTAATTCTGCCTTAGCAAAATGCCTTTCAGCTCCTTATAAGCATTGTTTGGTAAGAAATTTAGCATGATATACTGTATTAATATAGTCAAAAAAAATTTTCACGTATGAAAGAAAAAATCCAGTTATCATGATATGGCATAGTAAAATAACATGCCATGAAATATGTCGAATTGTGCATCAACTTCACATGCTTGCCTATGCTACGATCACAAATTTGAGTTTATTGCTTTGAAGTGAAGCAAGTAAAACAATATTCCATTTCATCTTTATACCATTCACCATGTAATCTATAATTCCCATGTTTTCCATCACAAATAGGACATGGCGAGCTTCACAGCTGAGCAAATGCAAAATTATAATTGTCGATTCCTCTAAAGCTATTTCAGAATTTCAAGTATGTAAAATACTTTAAGTCAGATTTGATAATTAACTCTTGATCAGGTTTGACTTCAAAAGTGATAGGCATGAAATCAGAGTTTTGAAGTTTTGTTGACACTATCACAGCTTCTGTTAGTTATCATGGCTCACATCCTATTTCTTTTTTATATTTTTTGTATAAATAGAACAAATCTTATCCATCAAAATGGTTGGTAAACTAGTTAATTTGGCATGCCAATCTAGATACTCAGGATTAATACTTTATCTGACTTACTCATATTGCCTTTTTATATGATTATAAATCAATTTAAATAACAGTAGGTAATAGCTGACATAAATTATCCCTGTAAAAAAATATCACAATGAAATAAAATAATGAGATTATGCAATTATTTCATACTATTCACATTTAATATAATAAGATTCAGCTTTATATGTATTTTCTATGCTTTTCTCATTATCATACTCTAATTTGCATAATAGACATAATTTTTTGTTAGTAATTCCATAATAATCAAAATTTTCGCTACCAAATTCTCTATATAAGTTAGGATACTCATCTAATATCTTGTTGCAAAAATATGCTCAGTCATAAGTTGAGCTAGATTGAAATGCAGATAATACATATATATTTGCTGATGTATTGAAAAATAAATATAACTTCACTGTTTAACTTTTTTTCTTTTTGAAACATAAATATTAACTTCAGTTAATTTAAAGCTGTCAGAACATTTTTATTAGTTTCAGAATTTTGGTCATATGGGAGGTTTGCTAGGAAAATAGGGCTCTGAGACTAAAAATTTTTTTTGAATAAATTAAAAAATCAAAATAA